GGTATGGTTGTTGTTCCATAAAAACTCTTTTAATCATGGCAAAATCCAAGGTAGCTCTCCTGAAGACTCAGTCTGTAGCACGTTTAGGACTTTGCTCGGCCAATCTTCTCAGCAACCTCTTACATTTTGTAAAAGAATCTTACGGTGGCATGCTTAATTTTGACGCAGTCTATGCTTGGTCAGACTCGCAACTTGCTTTGGCTTGGTTAACTGCCTCTCCACATCGATGGAAGACTTTTATGGCCAACCGAGTGGCCCATGTACAGGACATCATTCCTGTTCAGTCTTGAAAATACGTACCCACAACACTGAATCCTTCCGATTGTGCGTCTAGAGTTGTCACTCCCATGGAATTACTCGAACATACATTATGGTGGCATGTTTCCGATTTTCTAGCTGAAAATTACGACAGCCGGCCTAAGCAACCCGCCATTATTCTCGATAAACTTCCAGAAGCGTCGGCTGAGGAAAAACAGGATTGCTTTCATGTTTTAGTCAACCATGCTGGCCTTCTCTCTTCTATTAAGATTTTCATCTTTAAGCAAGATTCAACGAATCATAGTCTATTTCTGCCGGTTTGTTGAATTCCGTGTGAAACGGAAAATGTTTGATTCTACTGTTCTTTTACCTTCTGAAAAACATAATGCATTAATGATCATGGTCAAAGCGGTTCAAACAGAATGTTTCTCTGAGATAATGCGAATCTGTCAGAAAAATGATTCCCTTCCTAAGCTTTTCAGAAAATTAGCACCCTTCATTGATGCGGTAGAAGTCTTGAGGGTGGGTGGAAGTTTTCGAAAGTCCCTTTCCTTTGATGCGAAACACCCTATATTAATGCTTCAAAAGCACAGGTTCACAGAACTTATCATAGAGCAGTATCATAGAGACAATTTTCATCCTGGCTTGAAAACATTCCACAATTTAATCATTCAAACCTTTTAGATTCTCTTCCCTCGCAGCGCTATTTATCGCTGCCTCTCTACATGCATAAAATGTTTTCGTTCCAGACCTCAATCTTATGCACCTTTAATGGCCGATTTGCCAAACTTTCCCATATCGCAACTTAAATCATTTTCCCAAGTGTCTCTGGACTATTGTGGTCCCTTCAAAATTTTGGCTTTACAGAGAAGAGAGGTGCTCCGACTAACCTCAAAGCTTACATATCTCTTTTTGTGTGTGTATCCACAAAGGCCATACATTTGGAACTCGTGTTGGACCTCACCAGTGAAGCATTCCTTGCAAGTCTTCGCCGTTTTATAGCCCGTAGAGGTAGGGTCTCCCATCTTTACTCTGACCAAGGAACCAATTATAAAGGGGCTGCTAGTCAGCTTTTATCACTAGCACAAGCTGCTGCTTCTCTACTCAACATCAAATGGCATTTTAACCCACCGAGTGCTCCCCATTTTAATGGTTTAAGCGAGGCTGGATTGAAGACGGTTAAAGGGGAGTTATAGGGGACCAACTTAGGACTTAAAAAGAGTTCTACACGCTCCTTACCTGAATCGAAAGTTTATTAAACTCTCTGTGCCCTAATAGCGAAGATCCTAACGATTTTACCTCCCTGACTCCGGAACATTTCCTGACTTGTGAACCCATCACTTCTTTTCCGGAACCTGATCTCTCTGAAGTTCCCCTTAATAGGTTGACCCGCTGGCAACTCTTGCAGCGGATGCAATCGGATTTCTGGGAAAGGTGGACACAGGAATACCCGTAATAAATGGACGGAATCAATCCCTAACTTGAAGGAAAACATGTTAGTCCTCATAAAAAAACAACAAAAACCCCCTAGGAAATGGGCTCTCGGCCGAGTGACGCAACTTCACCCTGGCAATGATGGGGTTGTCCGTGTTGTCACCCTTGGAACCCAAACAGGAACTTTACAAGGGCCTGTTGTAAAGGTTTGCCCTTTGCCCGAGCACTAAGCTTTATTTGTGCTTGTCTTCTCATTGTTTTTGTAGGGTTTATTTTTTGCTTTATTTAATTTTAATATTTATTTTTGGCTCCCGTTATCGGGACTTCTTTTAGTTACTTGGGTATTTAATCAGGGGATGATTTTTTGCTTCCATGTTTCGTTGCCAAACTATATCTGTACATAAATATATATATTTTTTTTTCTACTGCGAAAAACTATTGTGTTTTTGGTAGGTGGAATGTTGGAAACTCATTGTTTCCACGAGTCAAGGGAATTACTGTTCTACTGCATATTTTATTTTAATTCAATTTCTTGATTGTTGGTATCAACTTATATTATAATTGGTTTATGCTGCTTTCTGCAAGTACCGTGATATATTACTTTTTGGAATTAATAGTTCGCTTACTTTATGACGCACAAGGTTATAGTCCAGCCATCCGCGCCTGCGTGGTGAGTCGCAGGAAAAATCTGGCCACTTCGTGCGTAGAAAAACACACCGCAACACGCAAATGCGACTCCGAAGAAAAAGGGTTAGAAAACTTCCTGCCGGCTAATTTCGCCTAATTTTAATGTGCCATCGCACATACTACTCAGCTACAGTTATCGAAGAGATAATTGATAACAAAGGTCGAGAGATACACCCCCAGCGACGAACGAGCAGCGTCTGAATTCAGAGAGTGAGTGCATTTTTTGAAGCTTTGTGTGTCCGACATCTTTTACTCTATTCAATTTATAGGCCAAGCAATGAAGGAAGTTTACCTCAACATAATTAGAAGTTAAAATTTTTTTGAGGGGATCGGTTCATTTTAATATGCTTAATAACATATTAGGTTTGCGACCTTGTACTTCCCTAGGGTTTTTAGTTAGGGGTGGTTTTTAGGGGCAATTTGCGGTTTATTGAGAACGCTGCTTAAAGGGATGGTCCAATAACAAAAAGTTTCAAATAATTGTTGTAGCATGTTTCATTTTTTCAAACACCACATTATTGCTAATGAAATGCACTCTCCATTGCTTTTTTGTTCGAATTTTTTGCTTGAAAATTAAGCGAGCACGGACTTGTTTAATGTATGAGGAAGTTGTAAATTCCATCAAAAACTACCCCTTTCTTGCATTCACTTTAATTTCTAAACGGGGCCAAATATTTGGTGACAGTTTTCGACAATCGGCAGCCCATTTATTTCTCTCATAATGCCCCAGCGGATTTTTCGTTAATTACTCAATGACTTATTGGCCAGAACACGTCGCGCGGAATTTTTCAAAAAAAAATGAAAATTGTCGCACAGCGCTGAAATTTGGTACGATGGCTTTATTTATTGTTCTCATGAATATACTGTTATTTTTATTGTTGCAGCAGTCATGTGATGCGATTAAAATTGCAGTATATTTATAAGAACAATAAATAAAGCCATCGTACCAAATTTCAGCGCTGTGCGACAATTTTAATTTTTTCTGACTTCCGCGCGACGTGTTCAGGCCAATAAGTCATTGAGTAATTAACGAAAAAAAAAATCCGCTGAGGCATTATGAGAGGAATAAATGGGCTGCCGATTGTCGAGAACTGTCACCAAATATTTGGCCCCGTTTAGAAATTACAGTGAATGCAAGAAAGGGGTGGTTTTCGATGCAATTTACAACTTCCTCGCACATTAGACAAGGCCGTGCTCGCTTAATTTTTGAGCAAAAAATTCGAACAAAAAAGCAATGGAGAGTGCATTTCATTAGCAATAATGTGGTGTTTGAAAAATTGAAATAGGATTATGCATTTCGCCGCTACTGCATGAAATGCGCGTAAACAGGCCAAACGTTGATTCACTGACCTTGAACAAAAAGATGCACTATTCAAGACGCTGCAGAAAAAAAACTATAGAAGATAAAGGGCTACTGTCGCGGAGTTTTATGTAGCAAAAAAAATTCAGCTACAACAATCATTTGAAACTTTTTGTTATTGGACCATCCCTTAAGGCAGCGTTCTTAATAAACCGCAAATTACCCCTAAAAACCACCCCTAACTGAAAACCCTATGGAAGTACAAGGTCGCAAACCTAATATGTTATTTAGCATATTAAAATGGACCGATCCCCCCGAAAAAAATTTAACTTCTAATTATGTTGAGGTAAACCCTCTTTTCAGATCCCCGTTTCTTGGACTATTAATAGTACTGCAATAAGCAAAATTGTTAAATGTAATAAATAACGGTCCTTCGTGTTTTCAGCCTCGTGGCGACAGTAATATTTTAACTTGTTAAAAAAAAATTGCGACATTTTAAAGTTGCGTGGAATATCATTGCAACAAACATGAATTTTGTGATTCCATAAAAAATTAAAAATCTAAGCTAATTTTACAAATTATGCTTGAATTTGAACAAAGTTATATAAAATTGATATGATTTTAATTAATTTTTGAAAGTATTAGGTGCGGAAATAAAAAAAAAAAAAAAAAAAATAGAAGTTTTAGATTTTTTCCGAAAAAAAAATTAAAAAAAAACTTAGGAGGCAATGTTTTGGTATTTAGGCAAAACTTTTAATTCCAAACAACTTTTCCCAATAACATTTCGCTGAATTTTCTAAAATAAGTATATTTTACAGTACCATTTTGATATTGTTTGAGCTACCCTGTATGCTGTTTCACTTGCAGCCATTCTAAGTTCCGGTTCATTAATCTTCAGATAAAGTTGCTGGTTACTATCTGCAAGATAAATATACCGTTCTATAATTCTATTGGTCAGCGGATAACTGGCTAACCAATGGGATCACAGCTTGCATTATTATCCGTCAGATTGCATACCTGCCAGTTTATCAGAAGGTGAATAAACCGGCCCTAAGTACACCTAACATGATTATCAGACATGCACCAACTTTTGGCCTCGTTTGTATTTGGGTTGTGCTATTACTAAAAAAAAATCCTCATATGTTGCACACTTAGATAATCACACTGTATACGTAAAGCCCCTTTTTTGATACCATTTTATTGCACTATCAAAAAATATCATAATTTGCCATATTCCCGCCATGTGAAAGTGGCCAATTAAAATAAATTGCAACATTTTAATGAGTAACGGAATTAGGATAAAAAATTGTATAAAAGGCCTGAAAAACACAACAAATTGGAATATATTAATTTTTTTCATTATGCTTATGAAAATTTTGTTTTGCGTCGTTTCATTGGTCGCTGTAATAGGTAAGAGAAATAATATTACTATACACTTGGCCGATCATAAAACTGGTATGCATTTTCCTATTGTGTTGTATTGTGCAGGGCCGTGCAAAGCACGCGCGGGCCCTAGTACAGCCCTTAAAGGGGCCTCAAAATTTTTTGTGTTATGAGTGCCCAAATTTGTACCCAAAAGTCGTTAAAAAAGCACGCTTCGGGTATAATTTTTTTTAGGTATTTTTGAAGTGAAACCTCTTTGCTTTATGATAATTCTGATCGCGTGAGAGAAGCGCATCAGCGACGACCGGAGGGGGGATATGCACACGCTTGTCGCTTGTTTGAGAGAGATACAATAGCTGCTTTTTTTCTATCTTAGCTAACGTAAGTTATTCTGAAATAAAGGACCGTTTTTTCTAATATCTTAGGTAAGTTTATGTCAGTTGAAATTCACTCCCCCCTTGCCTAAGCCAAGGATGCCGGATTCCATCCTTAGTTCAATTTCTTACCTGAGGTTATGTTTATTTAAGGTTAGATCCTTCATCCATCTAATGTGTACGTTTGAACTAGAACTTAGCTTAGCTAAGATTTTCAAAGTTAGCTAAGATAAGAGGACAGTGTGCAGAAAAATGGAATCTATACTACCCCCTCAACCTTTCCATGTTAGTATGAATTCAATCCTATGTACAGTTTTAAATAATCATACAGAAACCCTTCAGAATGATCTATCACTCCAATTTAAGATTTTCTAGGGGGTGGCTCCGGGAGCTGGGGGATTAAAAGGAGAGAGGTGAATTTTGCATAAAAACTCATCCCCCCTCAAATTATAGTTGACGTGTTTCAGAAATTTTTTCGAAAATTTTTCAACTCCGAGATAATAGGGGTGGTAAGTTTTAAATTTAACACCCTGTATAAATTCGTTATTATTGTGTAAAATATCGACATGACAACAGCAATCTCCTTCGTGCAAGCTAAATATCACCCAAATTGTTCATTCTTGAAAACAATAATCCATTGTCATTGTGCTTATTTTTGTTTTTCAGTTTTCTGTTGCTTCCAATGAAATAATTATTTGTTTTTCAGATGGGAGGGAGATAAAATGTTACTTTTGCATTGACGACAATACTCTCGCCAGTAAACATGACCACGTTGGCAACTGCAAAGGTATAGCTTGGTCAGTCATAAGTGATTGCAAATATGGCTGTGTCACTTATCAGGCTAAAATTAAAGAATTTTTTGATGCAGGAGTAGATAATCATTTTGCAAGGTAATATTTTCTCATTTACTAATATTTTCATTCTCGAATAGATCACTCAGTTTTCATAAATCCAAATGTACCTAAATTGTTTGAGAAAAATGGGAATTTTATAGGTGGAGAAGAGGTTGCGCTGTTGAAGGAGGGTGTGCCAAAATTGAAGCGAACTTACATGAACGTTGGAAGGATGATATTCTAGAATATGATTGTCAAGAGTGTGATAAGGACTATTGCAATAATAGAGCTAATCATCCAGGATATAATTTCAAAGGTCGTCTCGGTTTACATTACACCTGGGAGCGGGAATCGAAGTAATATTTATTCATTCGAATATAAAATTATTTAATCTCCAAGCGGTGTATAATTTGAACCTTGAACTTGGATTCCGGTTGGAATCCACGGGGCGTGTAGAATGCGTATAATTAATCAGTTTAATATCGAGCAAGAATAAATGTATTATTTATTGTTCGGAGAGAAATACATATACTTCACCAAAATTGGTAACTAAAAACTTTACCAGCCAGGTACACAAATGAATTCTGCGCACCATACCTTACCTCGAATAAAAATTTCAAAGTCCAGAACAATTCCTTCTTAAAACTTAATGGACAACAGGTTCTTGTTTTGTGGATTCGATCAAATACGCGATTAACTGTCTTCTTCGGCTTCCGCTTCTTATCGAGGAATCAAAGTGAAATAATCGAGTAAATCCGTAAAGGTTTGCTTTAAAACAGCTGATCCCACTATTTGCTGTAATGAAATAACACAAGTAATCTTATCTGGAATGGGCGCATATATCCCACATACAACTAAACGTAGAGCTTATGCAAAACCTTGGTTCAACAGCCAGTGTCAAACGGCTGTACAGAAAAAACACAGAGCATATAACCTTTGGAAACGACTACAAACCGCTCAAAACCACACAGAATTTATAGAAGCCAGAAATAGTTGCAAAATTACTATTGACTCCGCTAAAGAAACATACAATCAAAGAATAAAAAACAGGTTGCTGAATTGTCCAAGTAGTTCTAGGTCTTTTTGGTCTCTTGCAAAAGCTGTTGGATCTAACTTCACCAAGTCATCCATACCACCACTTACAGATAAAAATAATCACTTAGCCACAACATCAGAGGAAAAAGCCAATATGCTTGCCCAAATGTTTTCCTCCAACTCCAACCTAACAGTGCTAAACGGAAAAACTCCACCGTTCATTGAAAGGGTTTCCCATAGTATGCCAGAGGTACCCTTTTGTCACAGAGAAATACGAAAATCCCTAAAAAATCTGGATACAAACAAAGCAATGGATCCGGATGGCATTCCCGCAATAGTACTCAAAAATTGCGCCAACGAACTCACCCCAACTTTCGCAAAATTATTCAATTTGTCTTACAGGCAAGGAGTATATCCATCATCATGGAAGTCTGCCGCAGTACAACCCATTCCAAAGAAAGGAAAAAAGACAGATCCGTTAAACTATAGACCAATTGCTCTACTTCCGGTGATATCAAAAGTAATGGAAAGAGTTGTGAACAATCACCTAACCAAGTACTTGGAAAAGTACAAAATTATCAACGATAAGCAATACGGATTTCGAAAATATAGGTCAACTGGCGATTTACTTACATACGTCACTCACTTATGGCAAAAAGCGATTGAGTTGCGGGGTGAAACAAGAACAATTGCCTTAGATATATCTAAAGCATTCGACAAAGTTTGGCATGAAAATCTGCTCAACAAGCTCAAAGCAATGGGATTATCGCCGCACTTGGTTTGAAAGTTACCTAAAGGACAGATCCATTTATGTTGCACTGGATGGCCAGAACTCCAACTCTTACCAAATAAATGCTGGTGTGCCACAGGGAGCAATCCTTTCGCCAACTCTTTTCCTGATTTACATAAATGACCTCATAGATAAAACAGTAAATCCACTTTATTGCTTTGCAGACGATGGCAATGTAGTCTCCTCACTCATACCACCCACAGGTCTTTCCGCACGTGAATTCCATCATCTTAGACTAACTCAAATATCGCAGATAAATAACGACCTGGAGATAATAGAGGACTGGGGTAACAAAAACCTTGTACAGTTCAACGCGCAGAAAACCCAAGCAGCTCTGTTTTCAAAAAAGACCAGCACCGGTGAGCCAAACATCATGCTATCTGGAAGTGCTGTCACATTACAGACTCAGTTGAACATATTGGGGGTTACTGCAGAGACCAACAGTTCTTGGCACAGTCACGTGGCAGATATTGCTAAAAGTGCCTCCCAAAAGCTGAGGGTGCTATTTTGTACAAGACATCTGTACACACCAAGCCAATTGCTGACACTCTACAAAGCCCAGATTCGACCAACTATGGAGTACTGCTCACATATATGGTGTGCAGCACCCAAACATACCTTAATGCTTTTGAATACCGTGCAAAAACGAGCTATCAAGCTAATCAATGACCCCGCACTTACTCGTAACTTGGATGGTCTCGAACATCGCAGATCTGTGGGCGATTTATCTCTCTTCTACAGGTACTATCACGGAAAATGCTCTGAAGAGTTGGCACGTATGATTCCACCGAGAGTAGCACCTACCAGGCGAACCCGTCAAACAGACGGTAACCATGAATTTACTGTTAAACTAGAGGCACCAAGAACCTCATTATATCAGAATTCATATCTCTGGAGAACAGCATCGCTGTGGAATAAACTCCCTGCGACGGTTTTCCCTGCAGGTTACAACCTGAACCGTTTCAAGACCAACATACACCGACATTTCCGCGCACTTGCCGCTTCTCGAGCGTGATAGGACATTTCCTTGCGAGTGCACATATCCGTAAAAAAAAAAAAAGTAACAGATGTTTGGAAATTGATATGTAGACTCTACTAATAAAATAATAGGACCCGTGTTTCGGCGTTTTCCTATTACCTCCCCTATAAGTCACCCATCATCATAAAACAAATTGAGCTTCAAAAATATGGGTGGGGTATCAAATTGAAGGAAATAAAGAACGGAATCTAGAAAAGTGTTTCGTATTTATTTTTCTATTATCTCCCTTATCACCCCACTATGTCCCCCCATTTTCATGAAAAAATTGTTCTTCCGAAAATATAGGTTGTATGGTATCAAACTCAAGGAAATAAAGCACGGAATCTAAAAAACTGTTTAGTATTAGTTAGTTAAATGGCCAGAAGATACTGAGTAATCACTTTTTTTGCTGACTTTAACTTTATATTGTCATAAAAGCTTTTCAGCTTAGATTTACAGTCAATCAGTTGAAAGCATTCAATTTATAATTGTATTCTTATTTTTATCTAAATATTGTTAGCAAGTTAAAATAAAGTTTTTTAAAAAAGTAATTCTCGGCTATCGACTTGTTAACTGGCGCAGTCGTGCAGATGTTTTTCGGAACTTTTCGGTTCGGTTTCGGCAAGAATTTGGACCGTTAACGCGAAAAATTAGGACTAGCTCCAAGTTTGTTTGCTGTGTGGATAGTGGCTAATAATCTAACATCGGTTATCAGAGTTCATCGTGGACACTACTAAAACACCAGTGCGGGAAATTGGACTAAATCGCCAATTTTCGCGAGGACAAAGACGTTTGTGTGAGAAAAATCGCTTGCCAAAAACTTTGACCTTAAATGTTACAAAAAGTGGAGAATTGAACATCATCGTCATTTCTCGCAAGATCAAGCAGTCTTTGGAAGGACCGGCATCGCTAATTCATCATACTGAGCGCGTAAGTAGTGCAATTGATCGTATTTATGTCCAATTAAGTAACTTAAATTTGCGAATAGATAATTTATCACCTTCAACTGACTCATGCTTCTCAATCTGAAGAAGTAATTAGAATAATCAATCAAACTTTAAATAATACAGAAAATAGTGCTGAAGCACAGATCACCTAATACAGATGCGAAAGTACGCATACTTGCTGTCGACGATATTCTGTGACGAGGCCGGGCCGCCAGCGGCCCCACGCATAGATAAAGATCGCCCGCGTCAGGACAATTAACGTGGCTGAGTGCGTGACCATGTTCCAGCCTGTGTGTTTACATATTTTTGCGGGTAGAAAAAAATATTTTTTTGCTGTTTTTGAACCAATTAAAGAAATAATATTATATTCTTGAGCTTCCGCATTTATATAATAAATATGTTCAAAATACATTGATGTGGCATTGGTGCGGCCAGCCTATGTCTATCAAATTAATCTTGAACCACGAATTAGCCGCTCTTTCGCATCTGTATGTAATTAATCTGTGGCTGAAGGCAGAGTAGAATCGATAATTGAGAATAATCAACAAAACTCTGTAAACAGTAATATATCAATAATGGCTACTTCATTTAGACCTGAATATTTAAATTGTGTGCCGACCTTTGACGGCAATCCAAATGACCTAAACAGATATCTGGCAGTTTGTCAGAGTCTTATTGACACCTTTTACAATGTCAATGAGCCAAACCACTTTCAAAATGTTCATTTGTTGAATTGTATTATAGGAAAATTGACGGGTAACGCTAAACTTGTTCTTGGTACCCAAAATGTTAATAGTTGGAAAGAATTAAAACTTATCTTGGGTAGGCATTTTGCTGAAAGAGATGAGGCTTGTCTTAACAGAAACCTCGTTATGCTTAGGCAAAATAATAACGAAAACCCTAATCAGTACTACGACCGAATTTAACATATTTTGAATTTGTTATGTTCTTACGTAGATTTACACGAAGTACATGATAATGCAAAACTTCTTAAAAGAACCCTTTATAATAATCTTGCTCTGAACACATTTTTATGCGGACTCAAAGAGCCATTAGACACAACGATTCGTTGCATGAGGCCGAAAGATTTGCCTGAAGCCTTACAGTTTGTTACGCAAGAAAGTAACACTCAATATTTTCAGAATAAGCCAAAAACACAAAATTTCAATACACCTGCTCAATACGCACATCAATCAAAAACACAAAATTTCAATACACCTGCTCAATACACACACTTTCAAAATAAGAACGCATTCCCATCACAACCAATTTTCGTGAGACCGAACTATAACAAAACTCAGCAAAAATTCCCAACCAATTCGCAGGTTTTTGGGAAAAAGCCCCAAGTAAATGCCTTTAAATCAGATCCGAGCAAAACGCTGCCAAAACCAACGCCAATGAGCACCACTTCGCACAATACCTTGCCCAAACAATATCAATATCCTAATTCCAACCAACCACGCTATAATTATTTCCAATCGCGCTCTAATCAACCACCAATTTCACATTCGAGGAACTCCACAACACAGACACTGTGGATGAGCCAAATTCGTACTTTGTGTACCAGACCAATAATGATGAAACATAC